GTATATATCACCCACTCAGCTGCTATAGGACAAAATACCATAACTACCGTGGTGGACTAAAAGGTATTCCTATAGAATAATTCATGGGCCTAATTACAAATACGTAAACTATAGACTAAAACTTATAAGGGACTAAAGTATACTAACTAAATACTTTGAGCAGCTTGACTTCTTAACCAATTTAACGGTAAGGTTCTTTTCCTAAAGCCTCACGTACAAGCTCCGCAAGCACAGCTATTCTCTCTCGTATCAAACACCAGGCCCAGTAATATCATTGGTCATCAAAACATCAACTTTGACCCACAAATTCTCACCCGGGACTGTATTATGCTTCACTTCTCAGAGGCTTTAGCCAGCAACTTCTCAGTCATAGTCATCCAATTCTTGACCTAAAAAATCAAACAATATGAACTATAATGGGAAAATTTTGCAACTTTAGCCCCCAAAAATAAAAAAGGTATAAGTTATTTTAGATCTTTTATAGAAACTACCCAACTGAGCCGGTGGTGGCAGGCTTTCGTGCACTTGGCTGTGTGATCACAGAAACATTTTTTGGGAAAATCTTCTCCTGGAATTTTGAGGAAAGGAGAGGATCTTTGGCGTAGGTAACGGGTTGGAGCCGTGGCAACGGTCCCTTACAGATAAGATGCGTGCTTGTGTTTAGCCTTTTCCCTGACCCCATGCATAGCGGAACCCTAGTGTACCAGGGTGCACTTTCTTCTCCTGAAATTTTGAATGGGAAATTGATACGGAGGAGAGAAAGCAAATAATGGCATTACATTCTGCACATAAAAGAGAAGAAATAAAGTTGGATCATGGTTTTGATAAATTTTTGAAAAAAAGAACTAATTTTTGCTAGAAAGCTCATACCTTGTTAATAAAAGAAGTAGAACTAATGGAAAAGGAAGGGTAAGTAGTTAATGTTTACACCAAACTATATTAACTCATTATGATTAATTAATTTAATTAGATGAGAATGCATATAATTTACCATGGTTAAATGATTGAAGTCCGCAAGACATATGCCATATATCTATTGGTTTGGTGTAAATATCTTGTACGAGTAATTTTTTACCAAAAAGGAAGTCATTGCCAGTAGCAGAGAACTCACTTAGCTTCAACTCTATCTTAGTTACTGGTTGGCATGACATTTGTCATTGGGTACAAATAAGGGCGGATTTAGGGGGCGGAAGGTGGTTCATAACCTCTATATAAGTCAAAATTTATTTTTACCTCTATATATTATGTTTTGAATCCTCTTGATACAATTTAAAGACATAGATTAGTAATTAAGGAAGTTCAAAATCTTTGTGAGGTCACTGATTTAATTCCCACCAGGCACAATTTTTTTTAATTTTTTAGTTTTTTTAACCCCTTAGCGAAAATCCTACGTCTACCACGGGGTACAAATGCATGTTTATTATTTTTTACAATGCAAGTTTTTATACAAGGGCGAGTAGGAATCTAGGATAGCTGTTGAATGTTGAAATGGAGAAGTTAAATTAATTAATAAAGTATGATCTTACCAATTAGAATTTGACAGTAAAAAGATAAGTCTTTGTCTTTCTTTTTTTTTTAAAAAAAAATAAAATTGTACGGTTTCTTGATCAAAGTAGACAAGATAGTATTAAGCACCAGTAGTGTAATTATATGGTGCAGAAATCCAGTGAGAAAATGGCAAGTAGCATCATGTATTTTTCATCTAGTGGGAAGATTAGGATTCCTTCACGCTTAATCAACAAATTGAGTTTTATGAATAGAAAAAATTTATGACAGGGAGTGTGTCCCTTTAATAAAGATAAAGAGTTAGGTGGTCGAGTGTTATCCTTGTTTGTGCCAGTAGCTTTGATACACCACTTGGTGCCTATCAGTATCTTTTTTTTTTTCCTAACCCCTAATCTTCTGTTACTACTGCAAAAGATAATAGAAAATATAAGTATTGTCTCCTTTAAGCTTCTTTTTTTTTTCGTCAGAGGGAGGAGAGGTTATGTATAAGTTTCCTTTAAGCTATAGATACTATGAACTCCAACTTAAGCAAGTTGTTGCCTTCATTGCAAGTATTTCCTGTTATTATTTTAGCATTTTAATATTAAAATAAAATATGTCATAACTCTCATTATTTCATAATGTAGAAAATGATCATAATTCTCACTACTCCATGATGTAGAAAATGGCCATAACTCTTTTGTAACTCTTCTATCATGTTCTCCATGATTTTATAACGTATTACCCCACTTTCTCAATTACTCAAATGGTCACTCAACTATCCCAAATTATCTCCTAAAGTCACTTTTCTTTCGTTTGTAATAACAATTCCACTGAACTATGCCTATTTCACTTAGAAGGTCACTCAACTAAATTTTCCAAATTTTGGATTGTCAAATACCTATTTTACCCTCTAAATTATAAACATTTATCTTCTTTTTATTTTCTTTAAATATTTTAGTATTAACAACAAAAATTCAAAAATTTATTTACACAATTCAGAATGAAAGAAATAAAGGTTGTAAAATATATATTTCATGCACGTAATATAAAAATAATTAATTAAATAAAGGTATTTTTATTATATACATTATATATTCTTGAAAAGTATGCTCAATTATATTATTATGTTTCTACCAACTTTTCGACGACACAAAGTTATAATACCGGAAAGCAGGGGACTATCTGTATAGGGTAAATATGTTATGTTAAGTCGTGCATGGAATATATATAATATAATTGAGCGTAATTTTCAAGAACATATAATATATATTATAAAAAATATTTTTATTTAAATAATTATTTTTATATTACGTGTATGGAATATATATTTTACAACCTTTATTTTCTTTCATTCTGAATTGTGCAAATAATTTTTCGAATTTTTGTTGTTAATACTAAAATTATTATTACGAATAAATTATTCTAATTATTTTTGTTTACTATGCTCATTATCCTGTTATTCCAACATTATATATGCTTAAATACTATACTTCTTATTTTTTTAATTTATAAATTTTATTTATTTATTCTATAGGTAAGTCCATAATGTAAATTAAAAAGGAAAAAATTATAATATTAAAAAGCTTTAAAAAGGTAAAAAGAAGATATATGTTTATAATTTAGAGGGTAAAATAGGTATTTACCAATCCAAAATTTGGAAAATCTAGTTGAGTGACTTTCTGAGTGCAATAGGCATAGTTCAGTGACTTTGTTATTACAAACAAAAGAAAAGTGACTTTAGGAGATAATTTGGGATAGTTGAGTGACCATTTGAGTAACGGACTCTCCAATTTAATTCAAGGAAGAATTTCTACACTTATAAATAGGAGTCTTTCTTTTATATTGTGGTATGTGAAAATAATTGAGAGTATTTCAATAAAGTGAGGTTAAAGTTGTGAAAAAAGAAGAAGAGAGTTTTTACTTTTGTTGAAGGAAGGTGTTCATCTTGGTGGAGCTTTGGACTCGACAACTTGTCCAGAGTTTGTTCGAGTCATACGACGTGATAGGGCTATTGTATCTTGGGGGAGACAAGTCAAGAAGATTATTGTTGGACCAGTGAAGACTTTGTTGCAATGGGCTTGAATCTCCTTAAAGAGAGCGAGATATCCGCGCTTCAGCCTTAAGATATTTTATTTTCTTCATTTTATTTTTCAACTGTAATTGTATTTTCACCAACAATTTTAAGGAGATTCAAATGGCTACAGTTGAAAAATCCGCGGATATCAAGGTGGGAGATCTCAACAAGCTATTCATGGTACTCATTTCAAGAGATGGAAGGGTAAAATACTTTTTTATTTGAGTCTTCTCAATGTCTCTTACGTTTTAACTGAGAAGAATCCGTTTTAACTGAGAAGAATCCAAGCAAAGTAGACAACTCCTCCATGAATGATGATGAGCTAATTGCCCTTCAAGAAAAAATTGAAAAATATAACGATGATTTATACAAGTGTCGATATTATCTTCTTAATTGTCTATCTGATAATTTTTATGATTATTATGATAGAACTTACTCTACTGCAAAGAAAATTTGGAAAGCATTGCAGAGTAAGTATGATACCGAGGAGGCAGGTGCAAAAAAATATGTTGCTAGCAGATTTTTTCGTTTTCAAATGGTGGACAATAAATTTGTAGTAGACCAAGCTCAAGACTTCATAATGATCGTTAGAGAGCTCAGGTCCGAGGATATTAAAATTGGAGACAATCTTATTGTTTGTGGCATAATAGATAAACTTCCACCTTCACGGAAGCAATTTCAAAAAACTATGCATCACAAACAAAAGGAAACTTCACTTGAGACGTTGATAATGCGGATTCGCATGGAAGAAGAGGCAAGAGGCCAAGATGCACTTATGCAATCGGAAGAGAGCACTCTACAACCCATCACTATAAAGGTAAATTTAATTACTTCTGTGAGCATATGATTTTTTTCCTATACGAACTACTCCTATAAAATCCCAGGAAAATAGATTTTTCCAATTATTTACCATTTTATAGGATTTTGTAGGATTGTTATTAATTGTTTGCATTTTTATGCACGTTTAATTCTTATTAAAATCATGAAAAATGCCAAAAAAATACCATGCATTGCATTTAGATTTGTTTTTACATCTTTAGATTAATTAGTTAATTATTTGCTTTACTAAAAATGAAAATCACAAAAATAGCTCATTTTATATTTTTACCTTTTAATTTTTAGATTTTTGATTTTTCTCTTTTGATTTAGGATCAAGTAATTATTATAATTAGATAATTAGTTAGTTTCACAATTTAGATTAATTTAGGATTTTTAATTAAAGAAGAAGAAAAAGAAAAAACGAAGGAAAAAGAAATAAAAGAGGTAATTGAAAAAAGGGGTTTTAATATGAATTTGGGTTAATTCTTTATATCAAATTGGCCCAATTCTTTCCCAAATCTAACTCAGATCCAAGCCCAAATTCGAACTTAACTCCAGCCCAAATACACTTGAACCCATCAACCCAAAACCCATCCTCTTTCAATTAAAACCTAGACTTAGACCAGATTCCGAATTCCCTTCACAAAACGGCGCAACACACTCGAGACTTCCTCTTCTTCTTCATTTGTTTTCTCCAAACCAGAGATCCTTAGACCAAAAAACCTCAAGCGCCGTTCTTCATCATCACCAAACAGACCTCTGTTCTCCAAACCAAAAACAACGGAACCTCACTCTCTCATTCACTGACGCAAGCACAGGAAAGCTGAGAAGGAATCTTTAATTGTTATACCCCAATATTTTAAATGAGGACATATGGGGGATTTAGTAAACAACTTATATTTGAATTAAAAAAAAAATAATAAGAATTTAAGACCAAAAAGGGCTGAAGCCCATAACAATACATCTGCCCCAAAGATTTTAAAAAGGGGTAAATTAGGTCTTCAATAATAGAGAAAGAACAAAAAAAAGAATAGATCAGAAAAACTGAACTAACGTGAAGGAGCCCTAGAAAGATTTACTGCGGCTATCACAATTGGAAGGATTTTGGGGAGGAAAAATCATAACCAGGTACATGAAATTCATACTTGTATCTTTGTAATGGTTAGCTAATGAATAGACAATAATGAGGGGAATCTTTTGGGGATGAGATAGTTATGCAAATCGGGTATTTGTAAGATTGTTCCTAACCGGGTGTATTACACTAAATCTATAGAAAGTAGATTATTTCTCTACCTTTATAATGATTATATCATGAATAGATCACAATGATTATGCAAAGGAATGAATTCATGAATTTAAAATGAGAATAGGTGCTGCATTGCATATCGAAACCGATTCTGGCAGTACCAAATTCTTATTTTTGGTCCCAAACGTATGGCATATGGTAATTTAATCATGGTTTTCATGGTTAGGAGTAATAATATTCAATAGTTGGCTATAGACTTGGAATACTGAAATGGGTCTTGATATTCCAAGTAGAATATGAGGGATTTGTTGGGTTATTATAATTCGACGAATTAAGAACCAAATACGAAACTCTGAGGGTTGGGCATTCTAAAGTAGCTATGAATTAACCCAAACATGGAAATTAACATGAGATCTATATTATGTAATTATAGATTGATTGGAGAAAGTTGTACGAATTGCTCGAGGTGAAGCATTTGGCATTTCGGCACGAGTACTGTGAGTAGTAATCTTGCCGCAATTTGTGTTTTCATAACTTGCATGATTTACACATGATTTTTAATATGAATATGTTACCGATTATTTTGAGTTGCATGTGGGACAAGTCTTTTACTTGATATGATACTGAAATAGCTATTTGAGAAGATTATCGTTGTTTTAAATATTTTCGTTGTCACTAGATCTGTTACCGTTACTTGAATTTACTGTTATTGAACGGAATTTATATGATTTGATAAGAACTGAAATGACCTATATTGTTTTAAAATATTTTCTATGAGTATATACGGATTACAGAGACAAGTATAAATGGGAGTAGACATTGAAGGATCCCGTAGCTAACGGTGGGTTCGTTAGACCTGGCGCACCTTGTATTTACCGATTATAGAGTACAGTTATAGCCCTCGCTAGTGGGAAGGTAGAACTAGCATACCGTTACCGATTTTCCTCGAGTAGGGACTACCGTTATATTTGACTTCTTGCGAAGAAGTCCACAATTATACCGATTACATGATCCGTTCATTGAAACCTTCCAAATGTGAATATCGATATTATACAGTGGTTACCCAACTTATTACTGAACTGTTAATGGTATTATACTACAAGAAAAGCATGATGAGACTGAAAATTTTTATTGTTTCTGAAAGGGCATTTTGATGTTATCTGTTTGAGATACTAGCATGTTTTCTGACTTGTCCCCAAATAAAAACGGTTGTGGTTAAGTGTTATTACTCACTGAGCTAGCGCCTCATTCCCCGCGAATTTTTTTTTACAGAGACAGCAGTTGACGGAGGCGAGGATTTCGTTAAGTAGAGCGCACAGTTTGAGAATTCTTGGTGAGCCTCGCACTTGTTCGCGTGGTCGGAGATTTTTATCAATTGTTATAGTCTTTTCTTTGAATTCATAGAGTCCCCCCTAGTCATCCTTTTAGTGTCATGAGTATTATTTTGCTATTAGTCTTATGTCGAGTATCATTCTTTATTATCAAAGTCGGAGATAAATTAGTATTTCTGATTATTAGTGGGTTGACTAGTAATGGTGAAGGCTATTTTGGTTAATTAGTAAGTTGTCGATTGTTTGAATTGCTATTAGGGTGTTTGGTTGCTGATTTGAGACAGGAAAAATATTTGGGATGGTCCAAAAATAAGGGAAATTCTGTCCGATTTTCTGTAAAATTACCGATGAGGCTTACTTGGGAGCACTTGCTCCTAAGCGCCGGTCACAATCTTAAATTGGGTCGTGACATTAATTTTCTTGAAAAATCGAAAAAAAAAACAAGAGAAAGCTTCAAAATCAGATCTGAGAAAAAAAAAAAAAAAAAAAAAAAAAAAAAAAAAAGAGCTCCGAAAAAGGAGAAAACTTCTGTTTCTTCATGTTTTTTTTATTTCGATTTTTGGTATCAAAATCATGGTGTTTGCTTGAGGTTGGAGTTGTCCTCGTTTGATTTTCAGCTCCGCTGTTCGATTTTGTTGCTGCTTCTGCCGAAACTGCTCTGCTGAGTTTCATCTTGAAAGCTGTGCAAGTGATATAGTTTTGAGATTTCACGATTGTTGTCAAAGCTACAAGGTATGTTGCAAAATATATTTGGTGGCAGTCTTTATGTAAATAACATCCTCGTTTTCAAATCTCATCTCCCAGGTTTAATTTGTTGTTTGAAGTTTGTTAATTATGTTTGCCGTTTCAGCTGATTGTGCTAAGTTTTCTTGAAAATTTTCAGTTGTTAAATTGATGAATATGGTGCTTGTTTATGAGATTGATCAAGAATTTACTTGATTTATCATTAATATAAGAAAAGGGCTGAATTTTCTGGTCATAGCTTTGTTAGAGATGCAATATGGAATATAGAAGATACACATATACATATAAATAAAGGAAAAGGGTTGATGAGAAATGGCCGTAGTGATGGCAGATTACAAGGAATTTAGCTTCTTCACCCATATGGTTGGTCAAAAATAATTGAATTGGTATTTGGAACTTTGAAAAGCAATCATTGCATAAACGAAAATCTGAATGAATCGCTTGCTGTTTAAAGCATCTTTAGATGACATTGTATAATTTAAGGGGTACGTTATGCTAAATAGGTTGTTATCTATAACAAGCTTTTCTATATTTTTTTTAACAAAATAAAGACTATGCCCCAACTAATTTAAGGTATGAATTGGTTTTTTTTGGAAACTGGAACTGTCATAATTATATTTGATTTTCATTTGGATGTGTTTAATGATTAGTAGCTTCCCCTTTATGAATGGCCAGAATCTGCTCCATTTCCACAAATAAATCTCGTAAACTCTCGGACATAATCTCAAATACTTAGAAATATTAACTTAGAAATATTGTAGTTTGCTTTAGTTGAGTAAAATCTTTTGAAATAATTTGAGGTGTGTCATCCACAATTGAACCCCATAATCTATGGCCCTCATATTAATGCGAAACTAGTATGGAAAAGACTTGGAGCATTCATAACTAGTATAGAAAAATACTTCGAACATTCGTAGCTTGCTTTAGGCGCGACTTAATCTAGCATTGTGATTATATATACATTCGCGTAACATAATTGCGAATTTAATTCTAAAAGTAACCCGAGGGATGCGTTCACACAACTTCAACCAAACTTTTCTTAATAAAATAAATAAAGCGTTATTAATTGTGGACAAGTTCGCGTGACATGATTTTTGACGCGCAATTCTTTAATTACGAACAAATCAAGTGATTAAAAGCGGTCAAAAGATAAATGCACATAGGTCCTAAAAATAAGTAATTAGACAACTTAAGCCAAGTAATAATCACTAAGCGACCGTGCTAGAACCACGGAACCCGGGAATGCCTAACACCTTCTCCCGGGTTAACAAAATTCCTTATCTAGAATTTTTGGTTCGCATACTTTAAAAAATAAAATTTTCCTCTATTTGGGATTTTAAAATAAACCGGTGACTTGGGACACCAAATAAACTATTACAAGTGGCGACTCTGATAAATAAAATAATCTCATTTCGAATAATGTCATTTTAATTGGAAAAACTCCCCATATACCCTCGGGTGTGTAAAAATGAAGTGTGACTACTTCAAATAATATTACTCCTGAAACTCACAAAAATACTTCTTTGAAGCCGAAGAAGAAGACTTTTAAGAAAAATTATGGTAGACCTCCCAAAAAGAATAATGGTGCAAACAACCAAGCACAGAATCAACAAGTTCAAATTGCGAAACCATGCTTTGTCTGTGGCAAGAGTGGGCATATTGCTCGATTTTGCAAATTTCGGAAACGTGGTCCTACACCACAAGCAAATGTTACCGAAGAGCCACTTATGGCGGTTATAACAGACATTAACATGGTAGAAAATGTTGATGGATGGTGGGCTGATTCTGGAGCAAACCGTCATGTTTATTATGATAGAGATTGGTTTAAAGTGTATACTCCATTTGAGGAGCTCAAAATCATCATGCTTGGTGATTCTCACACAACCTAGATGCTTGGAAAGGGAGAGGTCGAGTTGAAGTTTACTTCAAGAAGAGTATTAACGTTGAAAGACGTACTTTATACTCCTTCAATGAGAAAAAATTTGATGTTTAGTTTTCTTCTTAACAAGGTAGGCTTCAAACAAAATATTGAGAGTGATCAATATGTAATAGTGAAAAAAGGTATTTTTATGGGTAATGGGTATGCATTTGATGGGATGTTCAAGTTGAATGTTAAGATGAATAAAACTTCTTCTAGTTCTGTTTATATGCTTTCTTCTACTAATTTTTGGCATGCTCGTTTGTGTCATATTAATAATCATTATGTGGGAATCATGAGTAGTTTAGGATTAATTCCAATGATTAAAAAGAATTTTGAAAAATGTGAGGCTTGTAGTAAAGCTAAAATAACTAAAATACCTTATTTCCAAGTTGAAAGAAAAACGGAATTGTTGGAATTAGTTCATACTGATATTTGTGAACATAGAGGAATTTTAACTCGTGGAGCAAATAGATATTTTATTACTTTTATTGATGATTTCTCTAAGTACACATATGTTTACTTGATGAAAAATAAAAGTGACGCGTTTGAAACTTTTAAAAATTATCTCCATGAGGTTAAAAATTAATTCGGTAGAAAAAAAATAAAAAAATTAGAAGTGATAGAGGCCGTGAATATGAGTCTAATGAATTTAATTCTTTTGTTAGATCATTGGAAATAATTCATGAAACTACTCCACTGCATCAAACAGTGTGGCTGAAAGAAAAAGTAGAACTTTGGTAGAGTTAACTAATGCCATGCTTATTGAGTCAAATGCACCTTTAAATTTGTGGGGTGAAGCTATTTTGACTACATGTTATGTGTTGAATAGAGTGCCTCATAAGAAAACAAAATTGACACCATAAAATCACAAGCCAAATTTGGGTTATGTGAGAGCTTGGGGTTGTTTAGTCTATGTTAGGCTAACGGATCCTAAAATTATAAAATTGGGTAAAAAAGTTACCACTTGTGTTTTTCTTGGTTATGCTTCTAATAGTGCAGCCTATAGATTTTTAAATCTTGAAGAGAATATAATAATAGAATCAGGTGATGTTATTTTTCATGAAAATAAATTTCTATTTGAGTCTAAAAATAGTGGGGGTCAAAGAGATAAAGATAATTTTTTGTCTATGCCTAATTCTTCTACTTCTATTTTGCAAAATAAAGAAAATGATGCTTTTGAGTTAAGACGGAGTAAAAGACCTAGAATAGAAAAAGATTTTGATTTTGATTTTTATGTTTTTAATATTGAAAATGACCCTCTTACTTTACAAGAAGTTTTATTATCATCTGATGCTATTTTTTGGAAAGAGGTTGTAAATGATGAAATGGAGTCTCTAACTTCTAATAAAACTTGGAAGTTGGTTGATTTACCATCAGGTTGTAAAACAATTGGGTGCAAATGGGTCCTAAGAAAAAGATTAAAACCGGATGGATCTGTTGATAAGTATAAAGCTAGGTTAGTTGCCAAAGGTTTTAAGCAACTAGAAGGCCTAGAATTTTTTGATACTTTTTTTCCGGTAACTAGAATTACATCCATTAGACTTTTAATTGTTGTTGCTGTAATTTTTGATTTCCATATTCATCAAATAGATGTAAAAACTATTTTAATGGGGACCTAAATGAAGAAATTTATATGGATCAACCTGAGGGTTTTATAGAAGCAGACCAAGAAAGTAAAGTGTGTAAACTTACCAAATCCCTATATGGCTTGAAACATACACCTAAGCAATGTCATGAAAAGTTTGATTTCTGCATGATTGAAAATGATTTTAAATCAAATGAGTGTGATAAGTGCATCTATCATAAGTCTTGGAATAATTCACATGTAATTGTTTGCCTCTATGTTGATGATTTGTTAATATTTGGCTCTAACATGAATGTTATTGGAGAATCTAAAAGCATGCTTAGTAGCAATTTTGACATGAAAGATTTGGGTGAGGCAAATTTCATTCTTGGAATGAAAATTACTAGAACATGTGATGGAATTTTCCTTGACCAGTCACATTATGTTGAAATTTTTTTGACGAAATATAATTTATTGATTACAAGCATGTTGTAACCCCTTTTGATTCAAATGTTCACTTATTTCTTGTACAAAGTGACAATGATGTGATAAATCAAAAGGAATATGCTAGCTTAATCGGAAGCTTGAGATATGTGACTGATTGTACTCGGCCTGATATTGCATACGCAGTAGGAGTACTTAGCAGGTTTATAAGTAAGCCAGGTAGTGAACATTGGCATGCCATAACAAGAGTTATGAGGTATTTACTTGGTACAAAAACCTATGGCTTATTTTATAAAAATATCCTACTGTACTCGAAGGCTTTTCTGATGCAGATTGGAATACTTTATCTAGTGATTCCTATTCTACTACAGGTTATATTTTTACTTTGGAAGGTGGTGCTATTTGTTGGAAATCGAAAAAGCAAACAATAATTGCTAACTCTACCATAGAGGCTGAGCTAATTGCTTTAGCTTCAGCTAGTGAGGAAGCGAATTGGTTGAGAGATTTATTATTTCAAATTCCTTATTTTGAAAAACCAATTCCTCCTATTTTGATTCATTGTGATAGCACTGCTGCAATTGGTAGAGTACAAAACCGTTATTACAACGGTAAATCCAGACCTATAAGGAGAAAACATAGTACTATGAGATCATATTTGACAAATGGTACCATTAATGTTGATTATGTTAAATCTTATGATAATCTTGCAGATCCATTGACTAAGGCCTTAGCAAGAGAAAGGGTCTGGAGCACATCGAGGGAGATAGGATTGAAACCCACAAACTTATAAGTCATATATGAGGAAACCCAACCTGGGGACTAAAGATCCTATAACCAGGTTCAATGGGAAGAACGAATCATATGATGGCTTGGTTTAAAATGCACTATTTTTTATTGTTCTATCCCTATGGTGTGAGTGCATTTATCCTGTAATGATTTGCAAGGTTGAGTTTTATTAACTCTTAATGAAAATCTGTAGCTCGTATGAGTGGGGTGTTAAAGTTACAGGAGCACCCTTGACAGATTTCACCTATGTGAGTGTGAAAGTAGGTCGCTTCCTATAAGAATTGGGCTTGTTCTCAAAAACACTCATGAAAACCGGGATAGCACAAGGTCGTAATGTGTTGGCTAATAAAGCCCATGTCAATACCTTGATTATTATGTGTAAGCAGTGATAATTTATTTTCCTAAAGATCGTTGTTTTGCTAAGTGGAGGTTCAATGCAGAGCACACCTTCATTA